ACCATCTAAATATCCTTTTCATTGTCAAGTATACGATTCACGTAAGGAACGTTTTTCCTCACCCATCCCCGAAGTATTTCCAGTAACAAAGAGCAAGAAGTTTAAAAGCACAGATTTTTTCACCTGCTTTCATACGTAGCTTTTAACATGAGCTATTTATTGATCATCAAATTACTTAAGGGTCAGAAATGCGTTCCTTTCGTAAAGTTCTACAAAACAAACTCAAAGAAATGCACTCTTTTCATGATGTTCTACACAATAGACTCATTAACTTTGCTGTTACTTCTAAGTCGATACGGACCACCAAAACCTCACTGGTGAATGGGCAGGTTGAGCGTGGCGGGTGCTCCAGTGTGACTGCTGGAGGGTTGCTCTGCCTAGCAAAGGTGACCTACTTGGCAACCGATACTCAATATCTTCCATTTCTGGTAGAGTTCCAGTGAGGAGGATCCTCTGACTGAACCAAGATCATCCACCAAGATATCTGCACTTAAGAGTGATTCCCGATTTCCAGCAATTGACCAAGCTTCGGTCAAGCAGAAACATAAAAGTACCATGACTTCAAAGATACCAGAGAAAGTGGACCCCGGCAAACCCTCTCCAGGTGAGTGGCTGGTTTATTGAAATTCACAAAATCTAAAATCCCAGTTTTAAAGTTAAGAACAATCAAGTGGATGGTAGTGGTTACACCTCGTGTCTTCCAAGTGGCTAATTCAGGTTTTGGAAGGTCAAAGATCCTATGCAAATGGTAAAATTAATTTCAGAGTAGAATACCAGGTCAGGGAGATGTGAATTATGCAAAGTGGCTGCCTCCATCGCCTAGATTTTCTGCCCAGTCGTTGGCTTTGTCTGGCACCCGCCTGGAATTGCTGCCTTTTCATCTTTCTTCACCCTTCTTGGGGGATAAAGGCGTTTGGCCCCAGGTATCAAGTTTTATGACTCAAGCAAGAGCATGAAGAGATGCTTTCAAAAGCATCTGAATGGTTTAATTGATAGCCAAGAGAGAAAGCAATAAAGTCCTCCAGTTCTGGGTTTGTCCTCTCTGGGAGAAAAGGAGCTTGATAAATCCTCCCTTTTGTGCAATTTGGTAAATAATTCACTCTTTCGCTGCCTTTGATGCAAAGACCAGTCTTCTGCTCCAGGCAGAAGTGACTTAACAGTATCCAAAAAGGGGCTAAAATCAAGGGAAAGTTTAGAATCCCTCACGCTCATCCTCACGAGAGCCAACATCTATAGGACAAATTGGATTCCTCCGGGAACTGACACCTAAGTTGGGGTGACTAGATGGAAAGGACTGCCTTCTGCTTTGCAGTTGGATGGAAAGGATCCAAACTAACTGCCTAAGAATTTGTAAATAGTGTGCAATTCATTAAAATCCAAATCACAGCCACTCTCTAATCCTAAATAGCTCCTGTCATGCAACGACCCGTCCGGTTAAGTCTTAATGCATTTTTCGGAAATGGCAGCTTTCACTCAGATTAACCACCCACATTTTATTGCTTTACTGAAGTCAAAACCAAATTGACTTCTGAAATGATGTCTTTGCAGGCAAAGCCCCAACTCTTGCTCCTTATTTAATCAGGGGAAAGTATCATCAGCTTCTCATTTTAAAGACCTTTAGTAGGAATTAGGCTTTCTATTCAGCTATTTAAGGCTGAAATAGAGCAGATAAGGTCATTCTGCAATTATATCAAAATACAAGTTGTGATTTATTGAATTGAGGATGATTTTCAGTGCAAAAATTTGAATTTAAGTTTAAATAATGCAATTCCATTTATTCAATATAGTTTTCAGCCTTCTTGTGAAAATCGGGTAGCTGGCTGCATAGTGTGCTTTGTCATCTGTGGAGAAAAAGTCATTAAAATGAACCAGTTAGGCCCACTCAATGAGTTAGTCTGTCTGATTAATACAGATGTTTTTCAGACTGAGCAAACTCTGTATGAAACTTACAACACTGACAAAAAGGAGGAATTAATTCACTTTACATCCTGTAAAACATCAAATTTGAAGAATTAGACTGAAAAACACCAACGTTATAGGCAAGACAGCCAAGTTGGCAGAACAATATCTATTTCATCAGATGAGGGATGTTTCATGTAGTAAGAGCCTTTATAAACCGCCAGCTTTATCATTGCATTATGGCCCTAGCCCTTGTCTAAGATCCAGGCAGCTGTGAGCTGGACTGTGGCCTGGCTGTCCAGCAAGCATTGCAAGCTCTGGTGACTGATGTCACTTGCTACAGAAGCCAAATCAGTTGTGCAGCAATCTGGGTTGATCGAGAAGCTGACTAAAAGCATTGGGGTGTTAAGATCCATTCATTTTACACGTGTGGACTCTCCCTCAGAGCTCTCCAATAAGCATAGCAAAATTAGAACCTCGAGCCATGGAGAGAATTTAAGCTGAGTCTGTTCAGGGAAAGTCGAGTTGGGTAGGGGTGACATGCGGACAATTCGGATGGATACTATGCTGTAAAAGAAAAAGAGAATTTGGTATCTACATTATCTGGGTACATTGAGCTTATTCACTAGGTAAATTCACAGTTTCCTGCTTTTCTTCACCTCTGTAGAGAAATATTTTCTTAAAGCATTTTGGGGGTGATCCAAAGTTGGCAGTGAGTCAGCAAAACTTTCCATGTCAGATCTGAGATTCTGTGCAAAAGGGAAGCATCAAACACAGTGAAATCCCTTTGCGACATCTGACTAATAGGCTAACCCTTCCATGCTGTATTATGCCAGGCTTTTACTGAATAAAATCATATAGCTGGGGGGTGTGGCTTGGCTTACTGCAAATCTATGTAATGCTAATCCATGTCATAAAAAAAGGTTTTTTTCTTGTGTGTGAACTACTATCTAAAAAACTCCAAAACAGCTATTTACAATATAGAAACTATTCATGCCTTCTATAAATAGATTTATAACCAAGGAGGGTGTCAGATTCTCATAGTTCTTTGCACTCTACTAGAAGGCGTTCATGCATCTAAGTTCAGTTCATATACTCCGTGCAACTGTTTCTAGATGAGTTAACTTGTGAGGCTTCCTGTTATCTCTCCCCATGCAGTGGGGTGTGCAGTTTATGGGCAAGTTCTTTGGAGGCAGAATGCTTAAATTAGCATCTGGGCCCCGTTTCTTATTTGCTGTATACCTTTGAGCAAGTAACTTTTCTGCATCTCAATTTCCTCATCTGTAAAATGGGTAAAAAAAAAAAGCAAACCCAGATCCTACCTGCTGGGATTGCTGTGAAGACCCAGTACTCAGCCATTGGAACAGTCCCTGACTCTGTAACCATTCAATAAATCATAGCGTTATGATATCTAATGCATGATAGCAGCATTTAGTAAGGAGAATGGATCAGAAAAGTTTGTTTTCTTTGTCCTAAAGTTGTCCTCCCCTCCCCCACAATCTTTTTTTCCTTCACAAAAATCGGAGTTGTATTTTTTTTTTTTTCCTGACCGGTAAGGGGGTCGTAACCCTCGGCACGGTGTGGTCTGCACCACGCTCAGCCAGTGAGCTCACCAGCCATCCCTATATAGGATCCGAACCTGCAGCCCCAGGGCTACCAGCACCACACTCTCCTGAGTGAGCCACGGGGCCGGCCTGGAGTTGTATTTTTTAAATCTCATACATGAATGCAGGTGCAGACACTTTTATTCTACTCTGAGTTTCCAAAGCAAAATACCAAATGGAAAAAGGGGAATAATCAGAAAGCATTCATCAAGCCAGAAATATGCTTTATTTCCAAAAAGGCATGGAAAGTTCAGGCACTGAGTCAAGACCCAGCAGGGTCTGATGTGCAATTGATTCAGAAATCTTATTTTATGACCAAGGTGAGCACCGACACAGGTTGAGAAATGAGCCCAGCAGAGCCATGTGTTCTTATTTGAGAATTCTGTATGGATCCGTGAGAGGCAGAGCAGTCAGCGTGCCTAGCAAGTGCAGGAGTACAGGGGTGGTCAGGGACCTATGGGGGCCACCAACTGCTGCCTGCTCTCAGACCTCTCCCAGTCCCAGCCTGAGTTGGAAAGAAGCTGCCTCTCCTTTCCAGGACACAGAGAGGCGTCCAAAGGCCATTGTGCTGTGGGGTTCTGGCACCTGGAGTCCTAAAGAGCTCTCTACCCCAGGGGCAGGCACGGGCCCTCTGCTTTCACCTGGAGCTTGGGCATTGTCCCGCTAGTTATGTGCCAGGAAAACAGATCTGGATAGAATCCTGTGAGCCTGCTTCCAAAATCCTGCCCTTTAAAACAAAGCCAAGTGTTCTGAAATTATCCTCACTTATTTTTGAGTTCAACATTAGTAACCACCAGATTCACATTTGTAGGAGAAGCAAGACCTATCCAGCCTTATAGTGGCTTATCTACTGTGAAGACGTGTTCTTATAAAACCAAGAAAAAGCAGTAAATTCAGATCTTTTTTCAATTAATTAATTTATTTATTTATTTATTTTTGTCCTTTTTGAGACCGGCCGCAC